ATGATGAGAAAAGCCCTTGGGCTGGGAAGTCAGTTTGCCGGACAGTCAAAATGTGGAGGACAAGTGAACAAGAGTCAGGAAGTGGAGCACTGTAGTCCACGCTGAGGTCTCTGAAGTCCCAGCTCCATCTTCAGTGTTTCCCGTAGGCTCAGGCTGCCCCCAGCAATGCCGGGGCCTTGATGGATGATGCATCTGCCCCTTTTCCGGGGAACCTCCTCCTCCATCATCTGGTCTCTGTCCATGTTTTAGAGTAGACAGTCTCCTTCACCTTAGCATCCTTAGTCTAGCACTGTGGCTGGTCAGGAGAAGAACCAAGTTGTTGAACCAAACAGAAAGGGATGCAGGTCAAGGATGGTGATGTCCTGGGTGGTATTTCTTCTCCCCTTGACCCTCAGGTTCCGCCACAGTCACTGACCGCTTTTATGGAGGAATGTGATAGGAAAGAATCACACTAGCATTCAGTGAGCACCTACTGGAGGGCTAGGTGAGGTGCTTTCATGATTACTGTATTTGATTTAAAAACTCCATGAGCCCTGGATAGTTTTGCTCAGCGGTTAGAGCGTCAGCCTGCGGACCGGTGAGTCCCGGGTTCAGTTCCCACTAAGGGCACGTACCTTGGTTGCAGTTTGTTCCCGGCCCTGGTTGGGGTCCAGTGGGTGGCAACCAGTCGATGTGTCTCTCACGTTGATGTTTCTCTCTCTCTCTTCATCCCTCTCTCCCTCCCGCTCTATCTGAAGATAAATGCAAAAAAACATAAAAACAAAAAAGGAACACAAAAAAGCAAACAAAAACAAACAAAAACCCCTGTGAGGTGTTAAGTAAACCAGTTACTTGAGGTCATGGTAATGGTAAGTGATGGAGCAGTGGTATGAACCTGCTTCTGTCCTCGAGTCTGTCCTGTTTCACCTGGGGACACAGTGCTGGTGGCTTGTGAGTTCAGAGGATGAAGCTTCTGGGAGGCTTCCTCACCCATGGGAAATCCCCTTGAAGTGTAAGTAGAGCAACTGTCTGGTGGGTAATCAGTACAGAATCTTCACTGGGCATTTACAGACAGCCAGATGGCTGCTGGATGTCCAGTTAACAGGCCTTGGGGCCAGAGGTTTGGAAGGCAAGGGACAACCCAGAAAGCAATGCTCAGTCAGACCAAGAGCAGGGGCCAGGCTTAAACCCAGAAGCACCCACTCCAATGATCTGGACACTGACCGAACTTCCCTCCCAGCCCACGAGCTAGTGGTCTCTGTGGCTGTGTATTCTACCACAGACCAGACAGACTAACTGACTAAAACAGTGACTAAAACACTGACTGCCCCTCACACTGACTAAAACAGTGATTTCAGAAAATGACTTTTTATCTCATAAGGCAAGAAACAAAGACTATACAAGATCATTTCCTACTGGTGTCATCTGACAAGAGAAATATTGCTTGTTGGGGAAACAATGAAAAAAACCCAAACTCAGATTAATGGTAAACAATTTCATTCTGAATAAACTGGATTTGCTGAGAAACAAAGATTGACAGGTGGACAGAGACAAAAAGAGAAAGAAAATGAACAGCTGGAGGCAGAGCAGGGAAGAGAGAGAAAAGGACCAGGCTCTGCCAGGGCCACGCCGCCTTATTGCATTCCTCACGAGCCTCAGAAGAAATGTTTGCAAATTGTCTGGCAGTTTCTTCAAAAGTTAAACATATATTTACCATATGACTGAACAGTGCCGCTGCGAGGTATCTACCTAAGGGAAATGAAAATAAATGACCACATGAAGAATTGTACATGGATGTTCAGACCAGCATTATTTGTAATAACTCAGAACTGGAAACAATTCAAATGCTCACCAACTGACAAAAAGACAGACAAAATGTGGTATGTCCACGTAACAGAATACTCCTCAGCAACAAAAAAGGAGTGCATTCAAACACACTGTGCTAAGTGAGAGAACTCTGACACAGCAGACTACCCGGTTACAGGAAGTTCCTGTAAAAGGCAAACTAGAGAGAGAGAAACCAGATTGGTGTTTGCCTGGTGTGGGGGTGGGAAGGAACACATCTGCACCAGAGAACTTTCTGGGGTGAAGGAAGTGTTTAAAAACTGGACTGTGGAGATGGCTGCACCACTGTATAAATTTAGTATGGGTGAATTTTATGGTATAACAATTATACTTAAATTTTTAAAAAATTATTAATTTGAGAGAGAGACATCGATTTGCTGTTCCACTTATCCATGCATTCATTGGTTGCTTCTTGTATGTGCCCTGACCGGGGATGGAACCTGCAACCTTGTTCCATCAGGGTGACGCTCTAACCAACTGAATTACCTGGCCAGGGCTGGAACTGACATTTTATTTTATTTTTATTTAATTTTATTTTTGTTACAGATGTTTCTCCTTTTTTACCCCATTGATACCCTCCTCCCCATCCTCCCCCCTGCACCCCGTCCCAGGCTTTGTTGTCCATGTCCATTGGTTATGCATACATACATATAAGTTCTGTGGTTTATCTCTTCCCACCCCCCCACCCCCTCTTCTGAGGGATGTCAGTCTGTGCCCTACTTCCATGTTTCTGGGTCTACCGTATTCCTCAGACTGTTATGTTCATTATATTCCGTATATAAGTGAGATCATGTGGTATTTGTCTTTTTCTGCTTGGCTTCTTTCACTTAGGATAATACTTTCCAGGTCCCTCCATGTAGTCTCAAAGGATAAGAGATCTTTTTTTCTTATAGCTGCATAGTACTCCGTTGTGTATATGTACCACAGCTTTTTTATCCATTCGTCTACTGATGGACACTTGGGCTGTTTCCAGATCTTAGCTATTGTAAATAGTGCTGCTATGAACATGGGGGTACATATATTCTTTCTGATTGGTGTTTCAGGCTTCTTAGAGTATATTCCTAGAAGCGGGATCACTGAGTCAAATGGAATTGAAACTTTAATAAAGCTATTTTGAAGCGAGGTGTTCTTCAGGTCATAGAAATCTGGGATACATACACCCAACGGTACGAAGGAAAAGGCCACGATGCTCATCGCAAGGGTGACTGAGAATATGGCAATATTCCGAGATCCTCAGTGTTACGGTTGGTTAGCACAAGCCTGCTCAGAAAGTCCTAGAGTATTAAAATCAGCCTGGAGGTGAGGTTCACACAGAAGATTTGCATGGCAGGCACTAGTGAGACTGCCCTTATTATTTCCGAAGGCAGCATCCATAGAGTTGAGAAATCAGGCGGACTAAAGGCACATCGCATTTTGAGAACGACACTGTGGAAGGTACATGTAGGCCCCTCAGAGGGAGTATAGATAGTGGACGGGTTAGGAGCAGAGTCCAGGGTGGAACTATTCATGCCTTAAGGTCCTGTTTTTCAGAACGTGACATCCTGAACGAGGGAAGTCATTCTGCTGTAGTAAAGGAAGGAAACCGGAAGGTGGCTTCACGCTGACAAGACAAAACACTCCAGCTTTGGGTGAGGCAAGACCAGATTAGAATCCAAGTCCGCCTCTCACTGAACCTTTAAATGTTTTCATCTGTAACATGGGTTTACTGCTGCCTCCCTCACAGTGTGGTTCTGCAGATCAGACGAGATCTGCTCTATTGCCCAAGCCTTCTGGAGACTCCGTGCTGGCCTGAGACAGGGGAGGTGCCGGCCACCTGCGTACTTAATGCTTTAAAAGGAATCATCTCACATATCTTTCCAAAGCTTATTGCTGTACACAGTTCTTGAGCAAAACATTTTTAGTAACTTAGCCGTGGAAGGAAGAGTAATGAAATGAGGCCTGGCTCCATGCAGCACCTCCTGTGGGATACAGAACACTGAGAAAAAGATGCTATGAAAAATAGTCTTACACAGCCCTGGCCAGTTTGGCTCAGCGGTTAGAGCGTCGGCCTGCAGACCAGAGAGTCCCGGGTTCGGTTCCCGCTAGGGGCATGTACCTCGGTTGCAGTTTGTCCCCGGCCCCGGTTGGGGTCGTGTGGGTGGCAGCCAGTCGATGTGTCTCTCTCATGTCGATGTTTCTCTCTCTTCCCCCTGTCTCCCTCCCGCTCTATCTGAAGATAAATGCAAAAATGTTCTCAGGTAAGGATAAAAAATAAAAAAATATTAAAAAAAAAAAGTCCTACATAGAGTTCCACTCTCAGTTTGTCTCAGCTCCTGAGCTGGTGCAACCAGTCTCCAAAGTCCCTGTTGACGCCCAGATATTCATTGTCGATGTCTATGAGACGGGGAAAAATACACTCTTGTGAAAATATGTTGTAGATTAGCAGCAAAATCTTTTATTTCTCCTTGCCTTAAAACAAAATTTACATCTTCTCTGTAAAGGATTCAAAACAGGTAAGCAGAAAAGAAAAAGTGGGCAATCTCTGGAAGAGCACCCAGATAGGATCATGTGAACATTTTGTTCATGTCGGCACAGCCCTTTCCTGTGGGAACATAGGCATGTACTGATATGTGTGCACGCAGTGTGTGCCAGGACACTGGAGCCAGCCAACCTGGGTTCAAACCGTCTCTCCCACTGACAGCTGTGTCCTGGTAAATTGGGGGAAAGGACAGTACATTCCTCAGAGTTCTTGCGAGGGGCAAGTGAATTCAATATATAATATGCCCAGAAGTGGACGTGCTATAGGATAGTGCTCAACAACAGAGAGCTACTGCCCTGGTCAGGACACGCAGATTATGCAACACCTTGTCCCTGCATATCTGTGTATGTACCCAGCACATGCACCTGTGTGTATGCGTGTCTACGGACATGTGTACAGGCCTGTGTTAGGGTGTGGATAGCTGCAATTGCTACATCTAAACACATAAAATGAGATCAAACGTTATTTTTATTTTAAAAAATTTGTTTTCTTTATTGATTTTAGAGAGAGAGGAAGGGAGAAGGAGAGAGAGATAGAAATATCCATGGGAGAGACCATCTGATTGGCTGCCTCCTGCATGCCCCCCACTGGGGATTGGGCTGATAACCTGGGCATGTGCCTGACCAGGAATCGAACCAGCCACCCCCTTGGTGCATGCGCTGACACTCAGCCACTGAGCCACACCGGCCTGGTGAGATGGAACTTTAAACAAGTTGCAGAAAAGCAGCAGTCCACCAAATCAAACCAAGATGATTTTCCAAGTCTTTGAACCGTGAGTGAAGTGGCTTCTTCAGCCCACTCAATCTAGTTACAATTTAAATCAGAACCTTTAATTTAATGTCTTCTCAACGTCAAAACCAGTAAAATCATAAATGCAAGTTTCATTTGACAAAAAGACAACACGATTCTTCCAAAGTAAAAATCAGACACACCTCGAAAGCTTCTGTGCTGACTCTGCAGAGACACCTGTGTTCGGCTGTGCTACCACCCCCATCACGCGGCCACGGTGGCCCTTGCCAGGGGTGGGTCAGCGCTGCAGAGCTGCAGGAAAACCTCGGGTGAAATGCACAAGCAAAATCTGTTTTCTAATTGCACTCTCCAGCGAATGCTGCCGCTGCCAGGGGGTGTGTGAGGTATGTGAGAGCCTAGCGCTCCAAGGGTCCCAGGCTTTAGCCATCACAGGGTCCTGTCATGAGTTTTGCTCAGGCAGGTGTCGCAGGAGACGGCTGTAGGTCATCGTTGCACTGATAACCGGCTTGTCCACGAACTCCACCATGCACAGTTTTGGGAGATCGTCACTGCAGGGTGCCCGCTCCAGTTCCAACACTACGATGGTGTTCGGGGCTGATGTCACCAGGATGTGCTGTGGCACAAACAAGGTCATCTGGGGGCCCCGTGCCGGCCAGTAGCGACCAAGGTTAAAGCCATTAATCCAGACCTGACCCTGGAGAGAGAGAGAAAGAGAAATCATCAGCCCCGCTGCACGAATCCTGAGGAGCAGGAAAACCTTGATGAGCCCGGAGCACGTGGGCCAGCCCGCGGCGGGCGGAGGCAGGAAACGCCCCACACAGGTACTCGCCCACCTCAGTCAAGGCCTGACCAGGCCTGGACCAGTCCGGGTACCAGCACTCTGCTGGGGTGACTGGCCAAGTGGGGCAGGGGCTGGGTGGGAGAAATAACAAGTTGCCCCACATAGCCACCCCTGCTTCAGGAAAATAGTGTGGTCCCTCTGACTGGCTTCAGCAGCCACACGGCCACGCTGGCCCACACTGTGGCAGTTTTGCCAGGTTTCTGAATTTCATCCTGGGTCCTGGAGGACTGCCTATCCCTCTATGCCGGCCTCTCCCCGAGTCTCCTGGGCACAGAACTGCCCAGAGGCCTCCTCACGGAGGTGAGTGTTCCTTCTCTGTCCTCTGCTCCTAGAAGCAGGTCCTGACCACACTGTCTTCATGCACAAGGTGAGCACAGGGCCTACAGCCTGGGAACGGTCCCCGGAGCCGTCCCAAACAACCCCTCGAGAAGGATGTGCGGGTTGGGGGAGGGAGAGACAGGGGCCTGCCCAGGTGGGTGTCTATATTACTGTAGTGTTTTAATGGTTTTCACACCAGCATCAAGGCCAGGGTGGCATGCTTGCTTCGTGGAGCACAGGGGACCCTACAAGCTGCAAAGAAACTTCTGTGAGTGGGAGAAGCTGCTTCCGCTACAAACCGAGAGCAGAGAGCCTCCTGCAGCCCAGGGGCGCTGTTTGGGCGTGGCCGCACAGCCGCTCTGCGCGTGTCTTAGGAGAGGGCTTGGCTGGAACATTCTATCACAGAGAAAGCAAAGGAGGGGGGATCACACAGGAGGCAGAGAGAGGAAGACAGAATACGTGGGAGAGGAGAGAAGGAATAAAGGGAGAAGGAAGGGAGGAAGGAGTAAAGGCATTGCTCCCCACAGTGACCCAAATACAGATGGTCTCCAGCTTAGGATGGTTCAACTTACGACTCTTCAACTTTACAGTCTGTGCAAAAGCAGTATGTATAATAAAGGACATAAGATACGATTATAACATAGGCTTGGTGTTGGATGACTTTGCCCAACTGTAGGCTAACGGAAGTGTTCTGAGCCCATGTAAGGTAGGTTAAGCTAAGCTATGATGTTCGGTAGGTAGGTGTATTAAGTGCATTTTCAACTTATAATGTTTCCAACTTACAAGGGGTTTATTGGGGCAGAACCCCATTGTGAGTCGAGGAGCATCTGTACATTGGGGGAGAAACCCTGGAGAAGGCCAGGCCACGGCTGTCGCCGCTGAGCCCCGATCCCTAGCACGCTCCGAGCCGCAGCTACAGCCACTCTCCTTAGGGCCACTCCGCTGCTCAGCTTCGGCTATTTTTTCAGCCTCCAGGTGTCCCCTTTGTTCCGGTTCCCTCTGAATTTCCTGGCTGGGTTCAAATCTCAGTCTCGCCACTTACTGTCGTCTGACCTAGGCCAGGTCCCAACTCATACCCATAACTGGGGACACTGAGGACAGGCGCACACAGTGCCCCTCAGCAGGGTCGGCACTGCGCCAGCCTGGGGGCGGTGTTCAGGGGGTGGCAGCAGTCCTCACACAACTAGAACGAAAAGGTCTGGGCATTCGGTGCCCACAGCAGGAAGCCAATGATTAATCAACCACCTGTCGGTTGGATGAAGTCATTTAGAAAAAGGGTGACAGTTTCACAATACGCAGAACCATTTTACTCTTGTTTTTTTTTTATTGTTGTTGTTGGTTTTTTTTACCATGGATATGCGATCTTGATCCATTCTGAAAGGTAGGTACAACGACAGCTTCACCAGGTTTTTATCTGTTTGACACCTGCGGTGCCTTGTTTCACGGTATTAACGAACAGTACCACTTCCCTTTTGTGGTCGAGAGGGGACCTGTGTTCAGAGGCGGACGAGAGCGAGGGCTCCGGGGCGGCACCTGAGGGCTGACGCTGGCTCTACGCGTGGTTCCCAAGGGCCAACTCCGGACCAGAGAGTGAGGTGGCAGACGCCGAGGTCTGGTTCCTTCCCACACCTAGAACTCCATTCCACACGGTCCAGGGGACGGCCCTCACAGCTCTGGAGCTGAATCAGCCATGTCCCTCTGGAGAGTTGGACACCATCTCCCTAAATCCCCACCACCAGAGGGTTCTGGGTCAGAGTTGACCAAAGGAGGACCTTACGATCGCGAAGGCGGAAGGGAAGCAGCAGCCCGTGCTCTCGGGGTTATCACGGCTACACCCAGGACTGACAGGACCAGGGCACCCGCAGGCTGCCAGTGTCCTTGGCCTCCTCTGCTCCATGTCCGGCTCGTCTTCCTGAAGGCAGCCCTGCTGGCCAGCAGCACCAAGGCAACAGACCCCAAGGCCTCCCTGTTCCTGAGATGCCCCTGAGGTGCCCCTGAGGTGCTGCCCTGACCAGCGCAGGACTTTGTGTTTCCTCCGTTGCTTCTGACACGTCTTCCAAATTCCGCTTTCCCAACCCCTCCCACATGGGTGTAAGGTCTATCTCCTTGTGGCCCCACTTCCCAGGTGCCGTGACCAACCCATGTCACCCCAAACTGCCGCCCCTAGCTAGTCATCAAGGTTAATATGGTCTTTCTCCTAATCGCTTCGTTAATTCTGAATACTGTGCAATCTGTTCTAGTTATTCTTTTCTTTCCCAAAATGGTCACCTGCGGCCCATTTTGAGCCTGTGGCTGCTGCATGGACTCTGCCTCCTGATCTACCCAGTGGCTCTCCAGTATGTAGGCATCATGCCTCTCACCTTACCTCTAACTGTCCCCAAACGCAGGGCTACATCTTGGGCCTCGGTTAATTCTCCAAACCTATGAACTTCTTCAGGGCAAAACTTCCCTCCACTTTCAGCTCTTAAATATTTTTTCTTTATTTTTGAGAGAGAGGAAGGGAGAGGAAGAGATAGACAGAAACATCGATGAGAGAGAACATCGACTGGCCGCCTCCTGCATGCCCCCACTGGGGATCAGGCCCACAACCTGGGCATGTGCCCTGACAGGGAATCGAACCAGGGACCTCTTGGTGCATGGCTGACGCTCAGCCACTGAGCCACACCGGCTGGACACCACTCTCAGCTGTTAACAGAACGTGCATTCAGTGACGTGTATGGCAGTTTGGGCGCCCTTCCGAGAGAGAGGAACGAAGAATTAGAAAGAACAGGTCGCAGGCACACAGCCTGGAGCCATCACCGATCCACAGCGCCTTGGGCAATGATGGGATGCTCTGAGCTGCCCCGCGGCGCAGCCACGTGCCTGATATGACTAATGCGCACTCGAGGTGTGGCTTGTGCAAAGGAGGGACTGAATTTTCCCTTTCAGTTCATTTAAATTTAAACGTAAATAGCCACGTGCAGCTAGTGGCTACCGTGCGGCTGAGGCACAGTGAAATGTACGTGATTTCACGATCAGATCACAATCTCTCCGCTTCCCTCCACCCTCACTGCCAGCCTTCGAGAACAAGTCATAACCGAAGCTCTCACACGACGTGGCTTCTCCCAGGCCTCCTGACCGCCCCTGTTCCCGCTGGGACCCAGGCCCCACACAGCAGCCGAAGGAGAAGCAGGCGATTTCACGCGTTCCTGCTCCCTGCCACCTTACGCTGGCCCACAGACCCACCCGTCTCTGCCACTCTACCCCCGCCCACCCAGCTCCCCATGGCACTTGCCCCCATTCCTTTAACACGCCAACTATTCTCCACGACTGTTCCCCAGACCTGAAGCCTTCTGATCAGCCAGGCCTCAAGCAGTCCTCCCCCGTCAGAGAGAAGGCCATGGTCACATCCTTAGCACTGGGCCTCCCATTCCGAGTTCCTTACCACCTCTTTACCTCCCCCCCTTTCCGGTTATTGTCGTTGTTTGATATTACTTGTCATTTGTTTGATTACTTGTTTTTTTTAAATTCGGTCTCCGCAGAGACTGTCAGAAATCGCCAAGGCCGGCTATATGTCAAGTCGTCACGGGGAGTGTTGGGAAAAGTTTTCAATGAGCAATAACCGCGCCTCGGAGAAACCTCACTTGGCTACAATACTGCCACCGAGCAAAGCCGTGTGATTACTTGCTTATCAGCTATTTCCGGCCTGGGCTCTGGACCGACCACTCTGCCTGAGGAAACGCCCGCCCGCGAGGACACGCGGAGCCCTGCTGAAAGGACACCTTGTGTCCTCTGCTCCTGGCTCAAGAGCTTCAGAGAACGGTGCTTATGAAAGAAAAAGAAAATATCTGCACTCCTTGATTGGCACTGTTATTTAAAAATATATATAGATACTCTGACTTTTGTTTCTCTTTAAAAAATTATGCTGACGTGACTGGTGGAAGGGGAGGTGTCACATGCTGGTAAATGTCATTTAAAAGTAGACACAGTCGCCCTGGCCGGTTTGGCTCAGCGGTTAGAGCTTCGGACCAAAGAATCGTGGGTTCGATTCCGGTCAAGGGCACAGGCCTCGGTTGCAGTTCAGTCCCGGCCCTGGTTGGGGTTGTGCAGGAGGCAACCAGTCGATGTGTCCCTCTCACATCGATGTCTTTCTCCCTCTCTCTCTCCTTCACACATTTTAAAATAAATGGAAAAATATCCTCAGGTGAGGATTAAAAATAAATAAATAAATAAATAAATAAATAAATAAATAAATAAATAAATGCAAGTAGACACACTCTGTATGAATATAGTGAGCACCATAGACCAGACATTTGTAGGGTGAACACCAGTGTCCCCTGGGGCTTCCCCTGGGCTGTCCCAGCTACTATTTCCACGACAATGTCTGCCTTTCTCTGACCCCGGCTTGACCCTTGGCAGACTTCACCCTCTTTGCCATTATTGCTAAGGTGATAATAGTATAAATGTTAGGTTCCAGGAAATGCTTGACCTACTTCATTAATCAGACAGATATGTGTCTGTCTGTTTTAAATTCTGCTAGATAAATCAATCCTCTCATGAGAATTTAAAGCAAAAGTTCCAAAGCTGTTTTAAGTCACAGTTTAAAAAGTTTTAAATTTGGCTACGGGTTCATTCAAAAACGCCAAGCTTGGATTGCCTGCTGACTTGACCACACTCTGAAAGAAGACATTTGGACACATGGAGAACCCCACATGGAAAAGACAGAGGTCCATTTCTCAGGGTCAAAGGGCTCCCACCACACACAATTCATGGGCAATGGTGACGCTAACAGGAGAAAGAAAAGAAAAATAGAATTTCTTTCAGAAAGGCACAACAGAGAAGGGTTTGCTTAGGTAAGACGTTAACTACATCACTGCAGCACTCGGGAAAATGAGCTCTTCCCTCCGGCACAAAGCAATCTGAAGCTCATGCAACCACACTCCGTCGCTTCCTCCTCGATCTTACAGTATAAAAGTTAAAAAATGTTACGGTTTCTCCGTATTTTAGACCCGAATAGAAAGGCAGTCATGGAAACCTAAAACATTAGCATAAAAGATGCATCACTTCCTCTCCTCATCAAACCCCAAATATAAATCCCTTTCCTTCGCAAGTCCCCAAAGACCTGCCATTTTTTGACCCTTTTATGGAGGACTCTGCCTAACACAGTCATCATACCACCTCACGTATCCAGAGCAAGCTAAGAACTGGGGAGCGAAACTGCCTCCGTGTAATATCTGTTCTCATGTCCACACAGTACACACTGCAGGAGACGTTCCTCCACCCAGAGCCTCCTTACTCCTGCGCGTGCACAATTTTCACAAGTTTCACTTACCAAATTAATATATATTTATAGAAAGCAACCTGAGTATCCAGGTTCCAAGTTCACAGGACTTGTGACGAGCAACCACAAATTAGATGGAAGGGGCACGGGGTAAGAATAACTGTAAATCAGAAAAGTTTAAAAAGCCTATCAAATTCAGAATGAAAGTAGCTTCAAACAGGACGAAACCCATGGCAGATTGCAAAAATGACCACAATTCTTTGCAGCTCCCCCGATCAGGAGGTCGAACCTGCTTCTCCAGCCCTTGGACGCAGATGGTCCAGTCTCTGTAACCTCAGCAGCTGACACCCAGGAGCAGAGTCCCCTCATCGACTAGAAGGACACGCCCAGTGAAACCAGCAGAAGAATGATCTGTTCTGACAATACTCAAAAAGGTGAGCTGAATAAATGGTCGTTGCTTTAAACCACTAAAATGGGGTGGTTTGTTACGCAGCAAAAGGTCACCAATACGCATTAGCCTGTTACTTTTCAGTAAAGTAAGTAATATTTATAAACCCAATTTAAAAATAATAGGGTCATCCTCTACGAATCAGTTACTCTTTCACTGATCAGTCACCCAGACTTGTCGGGGTTACCCCACTTGTGAATGACGGAGGGAGAGGACACGTGTGGGCACTCACGCTGTAAGCTCTCAGTGACGGCTGTTACTACTGTTTTCCTCAGTGGGACCCTGCCCTCCATCTCTACTGCACCACTAAAGTCCCAGCTTCATTCTTTCTCCCTGGACCCCTCTCCAGCAGAAAAGCAGGGTTCAGGGTCATGAGGAGGAACGGTTCTCTATCAGGTCGAAGGTGCCTATGAGACCCCCCGTGGTAGGTGCTGGTGGTGCTCAGGGTCCTCAAAAATGCTGAGTTGGGTGTTATCATCGCACTTATGGGAATGACATTCCTTGAAGGTATAAGAAGGGGACCCAGAATCGAGCTCTGCGATCTGAAGCTTACAAACCGAAAGAGAAGCCCGAGAAGGAACAAACGGGGGGAAGAGAAACGGGGAGAAGTTTGGTCACAGAGTCCGAAGAGTTTCAAGGGAGGGAGTGGTCACATGCCGAGAGGTCAAGACGACAAGGCCTGAGACATGTCCGGGGAACATACCACCACACGGGTGCTGGTGGCCTTGGCGGGAACAGCTTCAGAGGGGTGTGGGGACAGAAGAGTCCTTGCGACCCATCACCCTCCACTCGGAGTTAGGTCTGCTGGTTGCGACCTGTTCCTAAGAGCTCCAAACCTGGGACAGGTGTCTCACCTCTGCAGTCCCACAAAAAGCACTGAATACCTGCCTTCAACTTACATTAAACCCACCTCAGGTTTATACAGACTTATAAAGACACAGGATGGCCAGACGGTCTGAAAACATAGATGATCTTATTTCATTGTATTGAATGCCGCTTCATTTATTTATTTTTGGCTATGGTTCCAGATTTTATGGCCACCTCACGGATTGCTGGCTAATTATAAATAGCTTCGATTAGTAAGTACCTGAGACTGAAAATGTCCAAAACAGAGCTCCCAGGCCTACGCCTGCTCTCTGCAGTCTTCCCTGCCTCGGACATAGCAGCTCCCTCCCTCCAGGTACTTGGCCCCACCTCGGGAGTCCTCCTTGACTCTCTTTTCCTTCAACACCACACCCCCTCCTTCAGCAAATCTTGTCTTTTCCTCCTACGCAGATCTGGTAATTCTCTCCACTTGCTACCACCCCAGTCCACAGTTTCTTACAGGGTTACTATAGTGACAATTAGGAAGAATATAAATGTGGTTTGCCTACTAGCAATGTCCTTGTCTATCATGTTGACATGCCCAACAGCCAGTCATCAAGCACCTCTCCTCTCCAGTACATTCGATACACTGTTGCCATATCCATTCGTAACTTTGATGCTTAAAACCTCTTCTACTTCTACAGAGAGTTCTCAAGATCATGTCCAGCTTCCTTGGTATGTGAGGCTACACAATCACCTTTTCAACTGCACTATCTGCTGCTCTGCTCCTCATTCTTTCCGAGGTGCTTTCTTTAACTTTCACCATTCTCCAGTTCTTTGACATTAACTGGGTGGACACACCTCAGTTCTGACATCATCTACCTAGAGTTGAAGTCAGATCCCACAAGTTAAAGGGCTCAGTCCCCCAAGACTGCCCCCATTCAGACACCAGTCACAAATCTCAAGCCACCCACGCTTCTGAACAGCAAGCCATAGAACAAACCCCTTCCTTAGGTTTAATAACTTGCTAGAACGGCTCACGGACTCAGGAAAATATTTCACTTACATTTATGGGCTTACGATAAAGGAGACAACTCAGGGATGGCCAGATGGAGGAGAGGCATAGGGCAAGGTATGCGGGTGGGGTGTGGCACTTCCAATCCTCTTCAGGTGCACCTCCCAACACCTGGATGTACTCACCCCCCCGAAGCTCTCCAAATCTTCCTGTTCAGAGTCGCCGTAGAGCTCCATCTCCAGACTCCCATCCCAACCCTGACCCAGAAGTTGGGGGGTGGGGCTGAAAGTTCCAACCCTCTAATCACTTGGTCTTTCAGGTAACCAGGGCTGATGACAAAAGGGACTTTTGTCAGCTTTTTCTTGTGCATTCTTTTATTTCGTGATTTTTATGATTATTATTTTTTACATCTTGAAAGAGGTAGCGTCTGCTTTTAAAAAATAAAACTGCTTTTAGTCATTATTCTATTTTGATGCTTAGCTTTTCAAAGCATAATTCTGGCTGAGGAAAAGTGGGACATGCTGTTTACACCCAGACCTACAACAAGGGGCTAAACACGCAGGACGTCTGCAGAGGACATCGGCAGGGGGTTTACCCATCCGAAGGAGAGCGAAACAGTGTCATGGCACTGGCAGAATGCAGTCGAAGCATGGCCTGTCTCAGGGAGTCTGTGGTCAGGCAGGTCTGTGTACACACACGCTGGCCGGTGTCTTCTGGAAACAGCAAAACATGCCTGATCGCTTCCCACTGAAATCCCAGCTGACGTTCAGGCATGTAACCAGAAAGCCACATCTGATTCAAGTGAAGCCAAAGTAATCAGAAGTGATTTCTTATCTCATGAATCACTCTTACCAGTGGCTTCATTCACTAAATCAAGGCTGTTTCTTTACAGCAACTGAATAGCATAAGCCAAGAGGCTGGAGGCAAGGGCCTTGACCAGGCTGCCCTGATGGAGGAGGGTTAGTGTGCCTGGAGACAGAGGCTTAGAAATGGTCATTCGGTCCGTCCTCACCCCAACCTCCACAGCTGCCAAAGTGCTCGTTCCCCCAAAGGTCAGAGCTCAGCGCCCTGGGCACAGTGGGAGCTGTCTGTTCTGGGTGTGCTGCTCATTCAGAACCTCAGGAGC